TATAAACTCTTCCCATTAGTAAACTAATGAGAGAACACTCTCTTTTTTAAGAAGAATAACAGAGGCCTGCAGAAGTACCATTTGCAGGGCACGGCCCAGATTTTTTTTAAAGATTTTTTACGCTATTTTTAAAAATTTTTTTAGGCCGCTCGGCTTTTTTTTAAAATTTACAGGCTCGGCCCGGCTTTTTTTAAAATAAAATTTTCAGGCCCGGCCTGGATTTTTTAAAAATAAATTATATTTATTTTTGATTTTTATAGCTAATAATAACGATTTCAAATATAGGCTGTTTTAAACAATACAGCCAAGCTTGGGTGTTTTTTTAAGAAAATTTAGGTTCGGCCCAAGTGTTTTTTAAAAAAAATTTTGGGCCCGGCCTTGGTATAATTAAAAAAATTAAAATATTGTCCGGCCCAGGAGCCGGGCCTGCAGGTCTCAAACATACCAAGAAGTACAACATGTGAAAGTAGATTGAAAGGTTTGGATTTTTTGAATTTTCATAGGCATTTGACGACAAGCAAGGATGAAATAATTGAAAAATTAACTCAATTCCAACGAAGATTGGATTTTACATTGTAAATATATAACATACAAAATACAATTATTCCTAAGAAACTTTTTGTGTAAAGGCTCAAAAAATTCAAATTTCTATTTTGGGTCATTTAAGTGATTCTTTACATATATTTTTTTATAATTCACATTAATTTAAAATTGTGTATTAGGAATAGTTATTAGTCCTAATAAATTTATGCTTGATATTTTTAAAAAACAATAATATTTCTCAAAAAAATTAATCCCCCCCCCCCCCCCCCCAGACCAAATTCCTGCGTACGCGCCTGTGTAAGCATAATATAATAAATGACAAAATATGAAAATAAAAATAATTGTTCAGAGTTAACAAATTTATAAAGTATAATATATTAATATAAAACCCGGCCAAAGCGGAACGTAGGCCCGCAAATTGGAGGGTATGGGGGGCGAAGTCCCCCATATTATTTTTTTAGTTGACCCTCCTGAGATTGTAAAGGTTAGCGACGCCCCTGGTGCTGCTCTGGAACATGACTGACCTCTCTTTATCAAAGTTCATAATGTGTTGTTTTTAGACCTGCTAACATTATAATTACTTGATATCCATTCCATCCTTTTTAAAAAATAGTATTATGGCAGACCTTAGGTACACGACTATACTATGCCCTTCAACTTGAATAGTGCAAACATGAATTATAACGGGTTGGATCGAGCAATGCGTACTTAAATAAATTACAATTCGGGTAGGGCAATTAGTTAAAAGAATTCGAGCTAGGCTTTCATAACATTTTCTATTATATAAGATGTCTTTATAATTAAAAAAGTAAAATAAACTATACCCAAAAGTAGGGGTGGGACCAATACCAATATAATATTGGTTTACAATACCAATACCAATATAAACCAATATATATTTAAATATTGGTATTGCTTTTACAACCAATACCAATACCAATTACCTAAATATATTGGTTTTGATATATTGTTTAAATACAATTTTAACCAATACCAATACCAATATTAAAAATAACATAATTATTTGGGTTTATCGTGGATAATTATATCGTGGTATTTTTTTTACTTTCATTATAAAAACTGATTACATCTGTTATTTCTTCCAAATACTACTGTGATATCAATATTTCTGTTATTTATAATTATAGTTTATTTTTATTATGGAAGTAAATTTTTTACATGATATCTCTCAATTTTATCTACTTATTTAGGATATTATAATAAATGAAGACCAAATAGAGTTAATAAATGAAGACCAAATAGAGTTAATAAATGAAGACCAAATAGAGTTAATAAATATAGATGCTGTTGGTACTAAATAGCGATAACGAACAAGAAGAATTATCAATATCTAATAAAAGACGAAATTCAGCAAAAATCTGGGAATTTTATACTACTTGTGATAATAAAGAAATAGGCAATTTGTAATAAATGTAAAAAAAAATATCACTTCCCAATTTTGGAACCTCAGGAATATGGACACATCTTAAATCCATCCACCCAACATTATATAAGAAATGTGAGCAAATAAATATCGGCAGTAAAAAAATTAAGACAATAAAATCAGTTTTACTTAATAATATAAATAATAAAGCTAATTTAAATAATTTAATAATAAACTTTTTCATTCAAAATAATTTAGCCTTTTCAATAGTTGAGGATATCACTTTTAAAAATTTAATAGCATATGTAACCCTTCACTAACATTAGATTCTATAAAAACACTAAAAATAGAAATTATGAAACATTATCATAGTTCTTTTATCAAAAATCTATACTTTCTAACATTACATCTAAATTTTCCTTAACGTCCTCTCCAAATAAAATACCCTTTATGGGCATAACAATTCATTATATTAATAATGATTTTAAATTAAATAATCATTTATTAGATTTTATTCCTTTTAAATCAGCACATAATTCTATTAATATTTTTAATTCTGTATTAAAAGTAAAATTTGAAATTGATTTTTTTTGCATTACATTAGAAAATGCAAGTAATAATTTAGCATTTCTAAAAATTTTAAAACATAAAGATAATTTTGATAATGTGTGCAAATGCTTTTGCCATATTATACATTTGGCGGTCATGACTGCATTGGAACCCTTAAATACAACTTTAAAAAAAATAAGAAATTTTTAAACTTTCTATATCAAAATTAATAAACTCGAAAAAATTTATCTTGAAAAAAATCCACACTTAAAATTTCCTCACCCAATTTTGGATATATCAACACGTTGGAATTCAACATACCAAATGCTTGAAAGAGCAATATTGCTCAAACCCTATTTGACAACATATACCAATCATTTACAAAATACCAATCAAGAAAATTATATTAGTGCCTTAGCCTGGAATAATATAGAAATATACCGAGAATTTCTGGAACCATTTAATTTTGCTACAGAGATGGCCTCATGTGCTACTCCATCAATTTCAACAATTATTCCTTTATATTCCAGTATTTTTGAGCATGTGGAGAGTTATAATAATAATCCACTATTTTAAAGACAGCTTCTTTAGCTGCCTTAACAAAACTTAATAAATACTATAATTTTGACCCAAGATTTAAACTATCAAGTCATTTATTAAAGCATTATAATATGGAAACTCTTATTGGATATCTTACTAATGAATACAATATTTATAAAATAAATGATAACAATTCAGCGGAACTTACAGATGAAGCACAAAATAACAAAAAATTATCCTTTTGTGACAAAATTTATCAGGTGAGACCTCATAATAATAACTTAGAAATAAGTAAATACATAGATGAAGCCACAATTTCCAATGATACAAATCCATTAGATTGGTGGAAATTAAATAAAAATAGATATCCAGTATTATCAAAATTTGCCAGAGATTATCTAGCAATTCCGGCCACCTCATCTAGCTCTGAAAGGGCTTTTTCAGAAGGACGGTATGTTATAACAGACCAACGTTGTTCACTAGATGAGCATACTATACAAGCTTGCCTGTGCCTAAAAAGCTGGATGCGCATGCAAGATTCTTCTTAAATATATTTCCTCTTATATTAAAATTATATCATTCTTTTGCATTATATTTTGTATAAATAGACAGTTATGTTACATTTTTAGTTTACTTATTTTGCTATGTTCTTTGTGATAAATAAAATGGTTCAAAATCAATACGTTTATTATTGTTGATACAAAAAATACATGATTAAATCAAAAATTTTTATATTCACATCACCTAATAAATTCCTAGTTTAAAAAAAGAATTTGAATAGTAAAATTTTGAGAGTTGGTTCTTAGCCCTGATTTTATGGTATCATGATTTTTTTCCCCATGTTTATTTAAAATTAGAAATTAAGGGTTTTATAATCACTATTTCTATTCTTTTAATTAGTAATTTGAATTTAAACCAATACCAATATAAACCAATACCAATACAAGAAACAGAAAATATTGTTTAAACCAATACCAATATTTTAGACCCAATACCAATACAATATTTTGTTAATATTGGGTTTTTACTATTGGTTCCCAGCCCTACCCAAAAGTTAATAATTATTTTTTTTAGTTATTCATTTTTCTTCAATTTTTATATATTCGGGTAACCACAATTTAATACGGACCAATATTTTAACGTTTATTATCCATTTTTTCCAGTTCAAGAAAGTGTTTTTTAAAATTTCACATGGAAAACGTAGATTATTTTTAAATATCATAATATTTAAGTAACTTATTATTGCTTAACCTAAATTAACTTTCTCAGAAAACTGATTTTTTAAACTTCATAAAAAGTGGACCAAAAAAAAATTAAATTTATCTTCAATAATTAAAGTATGTACCATATCCAATCCAAATATAAAAGCAACTTTTTATTAAAAGATAAAATAAATCTAAGTTTTATATTAATATAAAATATTTAAACTTATTATACATTTATAAAAATAAAAAATTAGAAATATTTTCTAAAAAAGTGAATAATTAAGCAATCTCATGAAACTATAAAAAAAGGCCTTCCGGATGGAATTTATAAAATTAATAAAAATAACACTCAAGGGCTTCGGGCAGATTTTTCAGAATATTTTGGGCTGAGCGTTGTGAAAGATACCCCATAAGCTTTTACCCCCAAGAAAAGAGGGACCTATTAAGAAATTTTAGTTAGTAATCAATATGGAGAAGGGAAAATCGATTATGGGAAAAGATATTATAGTTTATTTTTAAAATATTGGTTGGCCCATCATCAAATAAAGGAGGCATTTCTGATTCATCTGTCATTCTTGACGAGCAATCTGCTATAATATAATATATAAGAACATGAATATTATTTGTTATTAAATAAAATATAATTTATAAGAACATGAATATTATTTGTTATTAAATAACATATAAAATATAATAATAGTAAAACAATATAATATATTATATAAATAATAAATTATGTTTAAAACAAATATATAACCCTTTCATAAAAAGGTATAATAATAAGTATAAAATTTAGTGTATGTTTTTTTATGATTCATATTTATACGTTCAAAAAGTTTTTTAAAAACATAAAATAAATTAGTTTGAAGTTGATTCAGGAGTAACATTACATATAGAAAATTAAATATAAAATTATAACATTATTTCACATAAAAAATGATATAATAATTGGTCATATAAATAAGTTATCTTTAGATAATGCGTCGAGGAAAGGAGTGATTATAGTACTGGTTGAAAAATAAAAGATCAACCCGAAAAATATTGATATAGGAAGAGCTGGTAGGGGCATTTTAAAGATGGCTAAAAGTATGAGTGTCAAACAAAGTCCCTTGATTTGTTTTTTTAATTATATAAAAAAAATTAAAAAATATAATTATTTTTGCTTAGATTTCAATATATATTATCATGTTTCTAATCCAATTAATGATATAAAATTCAAGGCGGATTTACTATTAAAATGGCTATAAAGCATGTAATTGTTGTGTTCCAATCTCCATAAGAAGAAGCCTTTCCAACTAAGACACTATAAAAAACCAAATCACCTAATCCTATCTTTACTCCTCCTATTTTGATAACATAATAAAAGAACGATATATTATTTTTAAAAATGCTTAAGTGTAAAATTATATTAATGAAAAATTGTTATCGTTGAGTTCCAATCAAAGAAGGCGGGCTTGCCCCTAGATAATATTTTCTAGCATGCCTGGGTTTTTGAAGAAATTTTTTTTTAATGGGCCTGGGACTAAATTTTTTTTATAATTTAGCTTGTTAAAAATATTGCAATTTTTTTTTCCCAATATCAATAAATTTTAAAATTGAAACAAAATGTTTGCTTAAATACACTGAAATATTGTTTTCATTAAATACAATAATTAAATTTTGGCATATAGGTTGGGCCGGGTATTGGTAATTGAACTTATTATGGGCGTGGGAATTTTTCCACGGGCCTAAAATTTTTCTACTGAGGGTCTGGGCCGTAATCAAAAAAATTAAGGCTCATGGGCTTTTCATTTAATTTTTTTTTAAGATATGTATTTTTAGGCTTATTTTAAGGTGAAGACCTATTTACTTTTTTATGCCCTGAGTCTACCCACGGTCCAGTAAAAATATTATTTTTAGATCTATAACCAGTCCGTTTTTTTTAATGTTAGAAATTTCAAACTCAAAATAGTTATTTTTGTTTTTTAAATTCATTTTATAATTATAATTTAATAAATTTTTACTATCATCTTCGTTCTCTGGATTCCATTTGTTAACAACCTTTTTCTGGAGGGGTCTTCTGACTACTACCGTCTCAACGTTATCATAATTATGATCGACATTTATTAAGTCATTATTATTATCACTAACAGAAGCGACCAATATATCAACCGTAGTGTTTTCTTGGTTATTTAGGGCTGCCTCGACTTCTTCAAATAAGAAATATAATATTTTAACACCGAGTATGATGTATATAGTCAATTGACCAATATATCAACTTTACTAGAAATCTACATGCCATGTTTGCTAATTCCAACAATTAAATTATAATTTAAACCTCCGGTAAATAGCTGATAAGAATTACGAGAACCCGATGTAGATACAAGATTATTTTGAGACGTCTTTCCCTCTTTCGATGTCATCATCCATACCATAGTAGCTTTTCAATTTCAAATTTGGAGAATATATAAGCAATAATAAAAAAGAATTAAACGATAAAGCCATAATATTATTAGTGAGAGTCAGGCTCGGCCTGGGTTGGTTCATTTTAGCCGTGACCCAGATCGGCAGACCGAGGTTTTAAAAGTTGTCGGGATGATATAAGAAAAAAAAGCCCGAATCGAGACATTCTTGTCAAGTGTGGGAAAAACAAACCCAGATCGTGGCCTGCACATCTTTAAATTAAATTTTATATCTATGATGATGTGGATAATAACAAAAATTATTAAATTAAATGCATGTAATTTTCAATTTTAAAAAATCTGGCAATCGATCAGAGAATATATTTTATCTGAAACAAATTATTTAAAATTAATGATGGTAAATTTTTGACTAACACCAGCAAAATTAATAAAAAAAACCATATATTTGATTGTGGTGTAAAATATAATACATACACGAATATATGATTGAAGGAAAATAATCGTTTCTCTCTTGAGCTGTTTCAACTAATGCCCTTAAAGGTCCTTTGGGGCATAATACTGCTACCATATCTACGAATGACATGCCACAAATATATTTAAAAAAATAGAAAAAAAATATACTTTTTTAAAAATCTTCAAATATAATTTTATCAATTTTCTGGGCAAATTTATTTTTCAAACCCCCTGATGTTACAATAGCAAATAATTTTAAGAATGGCAATAAAGAAACAAAATAGATTATATACCCCAAATAGAAAGGAAAGCCAAAAGAACCCAAGTAGTCCAATCGGGTAAGTATTTTATGAGTGTGAGAGCGAATAGAGAGCTATTAATGATGAGATAGGCTTGGTGTAATCTAAGTGGGCCCTTCCAGTGCACTACTAATAGGCCCAGGATGGCGTAGTTGAAAATTACGAGAGACGCTGTCACGTAATCGAGAGGCAAGTTTAGGGTGGAAAATATTTGCCTGTTTTTAATATTAAACAAAATGCACGTGGAATGGTACACGGAAGGAGAAAATCGATAAAAATTTTTTTTAACAGGAGCGATAAAGCACCGCGAATTTCAGCCCGAATTTTTTTAATTTATTTTTAGACCCAGCATAAATTTATTTATTTTTAGACCTAAATCCGGCCAAGTAAAATATGATAAAAAATTATCGATTGCTTCCTATTCTCAGATAAATTCTAATTATCGTTTTACTTAAAATAAAAGGAGCAAATATTTTTTCTTTCTTATTTTTTTAAAAATTTGAGTCCGAGCCCGGCTTCGATTTGATTTGCAGAGCTATGGGATTAAGTGCTGAGTAACAGCTCTAGATTATTTGAATATTATAAATTAAGTTTCAATTAAATTTAAAAAAAAACATAATTAAGGTAAAAATTAGATATTATATATAATTGATATAAATATTATACTCCAAATGAATTCCAAAATAAACAAACATCAGGATTACGGATGCAAACAAAAGCCACCCTGTAATAATCTTTAATAATCATATAAATGAATGTTTAATAAAGCATAAATTATATAATGTCGACAATTCGTATTATTTATATTGAGAATCAATTGAAATATCTTACCTTCATGCATCGATACTTGTAAAGGAACACGAACAAACAAGTCACGGCTATGATAACACTGATAAAAATAGCTGAATTGGCAACCGATTGCCACACTTTGGTTCCTATATCATTCGTCTTTTCGTGAAAAGGTGTGTATATCCTTTGCAAAATATAAATAATTGATCAAAGTTTGTAATACTAATAATAGTTTAAGTAAAATAAATATAAATTTCAATAAGTGGCATGTTACAATCACTAGCTCGAAATCGCTAAAAATGAAAAAAAATATATGAAGGATTTCATATTTATCATCAAAAATCCATAATAAAGTAATATTAATAGATGCAAAAGGAAGTTAATATTTATATATGAATTGAGAAACCTCTAAAAATGGCGAGCCACACCCATTTTTTTGAGCGATTTTAAGCTTATCGTTACTTAATTATATAAAAAAGTTAACAAACTTAATATCATTTTAGCTGTTTTTTTGGGAATTTTATTTAAAAATAATAATTAATAGCAATTAGTAATCTGCATCGGGCCTAATTTTTCAAGCCCGGCCCGAAATTTTTTTTAAAAAAGTTTTGCCGGCCTAGCCCGAAATAGAAATTATTTTTTAAAAAATCGACCCGGCCCGGCCAGAATTTATTTAAATATAGAAATTAATTTTTATAATTACTCAAAATAAAAGACATATGTTATATGTCGTTTAGTTTCAAAAAATAAAATCAAATATTTTTATTTTGCATATAAAATCAAATATTTTTATTTTGCATATAAAATTCAATATAAATTAATAAATTTAGATATATTAAAAAAAATTCCAAGGTCCGATCAGATCTGGCCCGAATTATATTAAATATATTATTATTTAAAATAGAATTAGGCAGGAGTTCGGGTCGGACTCGGGCCTAACTTTGCAGATCTCTAATAGCAATCATAGATCTACAATGCTCGGCTTGATGTCCAGCACATGGGCCGGATAACGAATCTGAAAAAAATATTACTCGGGCCTGGCCGGGATATTTTTCTTCCCATGAATTCTGATATTTCATAGAATTGATCATCCACAAAGTACATGATTTTAATTTAACTACTATTTTATTTTGGTGTTAACAACAATTTTGGTTTAAGCGTTGTATTTAAAAAAAATTAAAAGGGGTCGAGCAAAGATTTGGACGGGGCTAAAAATTTTGCCATTTCCAGACCTCTGATAGCAATCACCGCTTAATCGATTATAAGTTAAAAATAAGACCAATATTATCATAAAAGAGTCATGATATTCATTTCAAATGAAGCTGAGAATGTGCTTGTGATATACTACGCTGGGTTTTGTTATGTTATTGTATATTTTAAGTAAAAGCATAATATTAAGTAGGGAATTTTCCTATTTCAAAAGAAATATATTTCCCATCTTTTCTACCATTTACATTAGTTGAGAGGTTAAATATAGATTTTTAAAATATTAAGCAAAATAGAGTATATGTGGTCTCAACTTTCTTATCTTTTTTGGGGCGAGTAAAGCAAAATTATATAAAATGTCACAAATGACAATATGAGATACATACCCAATCTTATATTCGATGAAGCTTGTGACTTAATATAAGAACTAACTATAGTCCATGTTATCTTTTTTCTTTCTATGTAATTATATTATATTAATAAATTTAATTAATGAATTTAAGAGGGTAATTGACCGTTACCACCTTATAAACAATAACAGATATAACAAAATATTACCTTATTACCATAAAATAAAACTAGGCAGCAAATTCAAGAATCATGACCATGAACTATATTGATAAAATAGGCTTGTAAATATCTATCCATGGGTAATTCCATGCCAAATCGATAACTTTTCGGCCCGACCTTTTTAATTTCGATAAAATTTTGTGCTGAGAGAATATCATTTGAAAGCATCGAATCCAAAATTTTAGCTTCCTAGTACTCATAGTTCCAGAGATATCAATGGTCAAAAGTGCCAAAAATGACTTTTTTCGAAAAATACGATTTTTTGAAACTGAGATAAGTTAAAAAATAATAGTTTTAAACATATATGTTATATGTCATTTTGTAACTTCTATTAAAGGCCTTTTATTAAATATTAAGGATTTTTTGAAATAATATTGTTGCGGTTTTTATTTACGTTATAAATTTTAAACATAAAAATTCCAGGTGTTTCGCTTTCCAAATTTTTTTGAATTTAATATTTTCTTATTCTCTAACCTTATATCTATTCATAAAAAAATTTAAACTTGGGACAGCCATGGGTTTTTTAGTTATTACAATTTAAAAAATCAAAAAATAAATATTTTTTTCAAAAATAGGCGCTCCTTTATAAAATAACGTGTTTTGTTATAATTATTATTTTTTTAAACTTTTTTTCACTTTTAAACATAAATAATAAGATTTTCCAGCATTAATATCATGAAATGAGATAATTTAGCTGCGGTTATCATTTTTTTTTTATAAAAAATTATTTTAATTTTCGAAAAATTATTTTATAAATTTTAAAGATATACATATAATAGATAAATTAAAATTCATGAAAGATATTACCTATTTTCGGTTTTTCATTAAATTTAGTTTTTTGACGCCATGAAAATTTCGTTTTGCGATAAATTATATGTACGCCCAGTAGCCGTTGATGGGCTAACTATTGTTAAAATTTATTTTTTGGTATGAAAAGAATATTTTGTGAAGCTGGATAAACAAAAGAATTTGTTGGTCCTTTAGGGGGAAGAAAATTAATTTTTACTTCATCTCTAATTACATTCACTTCTTGTACAAATCCTAACCACCAATCGTTTTCATATGCACATGTTACATATCCTCTAATCTCATCGATTATCAGATCCTCAATCAAAGGATCTTCACGTGGATATATTGACATTCGCTGCAGTCAAAATAACAGGTGGGTAACGGGGTATTGCAAATTATTCTGCCTATAACATCTGTATAAGTTGTTAATATATCCTCACCATTTTTAGTCAATGTTGCTAATTCACGGCCTAAAATCATAAAGTTTAATATTCTGGTGTATGCTACAAACGCATACACTATGTGTTCCGCTAGCCCCTGCGAATATTCAATTTTTTGGTCTTAAGCTAGCAAATTTCGAAAATCCAATTGTTATGTTTGAATTACTCTCCTTAAAATGATTATATAATTCTTTTAAATTATTAATAACTAACCTTTTTTGAGCGTTCACCGTTCACCCTTTTCAATGATAGATATGCAATCTTTTTTTCCTGGTGGTAATACCCTACTAACTTCATCACTGCAAAAATTTTTTTTAACAATATCAATTGTTTTTTGATTGAGATATTTTGCAGGCTTTCGATTTAGAGTTGAAAGAATCCCCTTTTCTTCTAAAATGATTATGGAATTATATGCCATATGATATGTAGCGTTGAATGTCGTTTTTATTTTATTTGTGCTCCAATTAGGAGGCAGAATGGTCAGCAATTGATATTTTTTATTTTAAGATAAATTGGGATATTGTAATTTCATGTTATTGAGTATATCATTATTATCATTCGTATCCGAATCTGGATTGTTAATTATTATACCTGTAATCGCTTTTGTTATTTTTGCTGCCTTTTTTTTGGATAATTTTTTTCGGTTAGTTTTTTTTATCTTAATAGGAGATATTCCTATTTCATTTAAAGTTATATTGATTTTATCTATTGATGTTGATGCTGTTATTTACATATTCACTATCAGAATTTATATTTTCGATATTTTTTTGTGATAACATTTTACGGCATTTATCACAAATATAATGTCCCGCCTCAATGTTTGGATATTGTGTCATCCATGTCATGACTTTGCGCAGGTTCTTTTTATAATTAAAGTGTTTAGATTCTTTAAAAGGATTTACGCATTTATATTTTTAAATTATAAATAATTTTAAGAAGAAAAATAATTAATATCAAAATATTTGCAAAAGAAAAATTAATTAATATTAGGGCAGGTACATGAAAACTAGCTTTTATCTTTCAACAATTAATTATTATATTTTCTTGTATGAGATATCGGAATCTTAACTATCTTTTTAGGTAATTTAATCATTTATTATAAAAACTAATTTTTACAAGTTATCAATATTGCAATAATAATAAGTAGTGATCTGCATCGAGCCTAATTTTTCAAACCTAGCCCGAAATCTTTTTTAAAAAAGTTTTGCCGGCTCAACCCGAACGCGAAAATTTTTTTAAAAAAATTTACCGACCTGGCCCGAATTTATTTAAATATAGGAATTAATTATTATAATTACTCAAAATAAAAGACATATGTTATATGTCGTTTAGTTTCAATAAATAAAATCAAATATTTTTATTTTACATAAAAAATTCAATATAAAATTGATAAATTTATATATATTTAAAGAAGTTTCCAAGGTCCGACCGGACCCGGCCCGAATTTTTTTTCAAAATATTAGGCCCGGCCAGAACCCGTTTATTTTAAATAGAATTAAGCCCTAAGCCCGTCCGGGCCGTGCCTAACTTTGCAGATCTCTAATAATAAGTAAGCCTATCAAACTATATAATATTTTTTCATAATAGTAATGCTGAAAATCTTTTTATTCATGTTTAAAAGTGAAAAAAAGTTTAAAAAAATAATTATTATAACAAAATACATTATTTTATAAAGGAGCGCCATCTATTTTTGAAAAAAATATTTATTTTTTGATTTTTTAAATCGTAATAACTAAAAAACCCATGGCTGTCCCAACTCCCAAGTTTAATTTTTTTTTATGAATAAATATAAGGTTAGAGAATTAGAAAATATTAAATTCAAAAAAATTTGAAAAGCGAAACACCTGGAATTTTTATGTTTAAAATTTATAACGTAAATAAAAACCGCAACAATATTATTTCAAAAAAATCCTTAATATTTAATAAAAGGCCTTTAATAGAGTTACAAAATGACATATAACTTATATTTATAAAATCTATATTTTTTAACTTATCTCAATTTCAAAAAATCGTATTTTTCGAAAAAAGGTCATTTTTTACACTTTTGACTATTGATATCTCTGGAACTATGAGTACTAGGAAGCTAAAATTTTGGATTCGATGCTCAGCATACAAAATTTTATCGGAATTAAAAAGGTCGGGCCGAAAAGTTATCGATTTGGTATGGAATTACCCCCATGTTGTTTTAATTTGACCAATTTTTTAAAAAATAATAATAAAATATCAATGATACTAAATGTTTAACATTTTTTATTTAAAATTTTAATTAAGATGTTGTAATCAATGTGTAACTTGTATAGACCTTAATTAAAAACAAGATTTAATTTTTATCCAGATATATTTCTTATTTTTTATAAACATAACAAATATTGAACAAAATAGAATTTTTTTGAGAACTATTGATTTTATAAAATATTGATAATAAATTGGCGTATTTGGTCTGACAATTTGATGATTGGTTATTTCAAGGTCATTCCATATCAAATCAATCACTTTACAACCCGACCATCTTAGATTTTTCTAAAATTTGGTATGTAAGTTAATGAAATGTTGTAATTAATGAATCCAAATATTAGCCCCTTAGCTCTACTAGAATCGGAATTATAGAGTCTCAAAGTGGCCTTAATTGGTCATTTTTCTAAAAAAATGAATTTTAAAAATAAGGATAACTTTAATATTAGATGCACTATATATATATCATGGCTCATTTTATAGCCCTAAGTAAACTCTTCCAAGTATTTTAAATAAAATTAATTTTTAATTTATAAATTTTTTTAAATTGCAGTCAAAAATTTGTAATTAATTTTTTTAAATGTTATTATAAATTTTTTTTTCCAAATTTCAGATATTTTGTAAAGAGTACCAAGAAAAAAATTTTCAAAGTGGTAAAAAAAAGGTTAAGTAGGAAAAATGCTTAAAATGAACATACCGCTAGATGGCGTTAATAATTTTAAAAAGCTTAGAACTTAATTTTTGAAAATAAGAGTCAATCTACCTTTTATTTATATAAAATAACATAATATAATTTTTTTTTCTCTTTAGCTTTCACTTTTTCTGGCGGTAAGCTCCTTCAACATCTCTCTCCACTTTATGTTATTCATACAATCTCTTTTATCTAATTTATACTTCTTTATATTGGCTCTAACTTTATGGCCCCATTGGAGTTTTAGCCTTCCTCTTTTACGTTTGCCCATCACTTCCAAACTCTCAACCTTATTTCCTATGTAGTTCATAGCATAATATAATATTGATTGAATAAAATAGCACCGTGGCACAGAAATAACCGCTAGATAGCGCAAATAATTTTAAAAATAGCTAATTATGATTTAAATTTGAATATCATGATATGTAAAAATCTTTCATATAAAAAAACATTTATCAAAGAAGAGATTAGAGTAAGTTGCTGGATGACAGAATTTGTCAAAATCAATGAAGGTGATCCTTTAGATTGCGGGTCTTACAGAGCTATTAAACTCTTTAAACATGCAATGAAAGTATTTGAGAGAGTGTTAGAGAAGCGGTTAAGGGAACAAATTAAAATTGATGAAATGCAGTTTGCTTTTACATCGGGAAAAGGCACGACAGATGCAATTTTTGTGGTGAGACAAATTCAGGAGAAGTATCTTGCGAAGGAAAAGAAACTCTATTATGCGTTTGTTGATTTGGAGAAAGCATTTGATAGGGTGCCGCGTGAGATTACTAGACGGGCCTTGAGAAAATCAGGTGTGGAGGAATGGTTGGTTACCGCAGTGATGGCAATGAATGTTGGAGCACAAACAGCAGTACGGACGGATTATGGTGATAGTGACAGCTTTGAGGTGAAGGTAGGACTTCATCAAGGATCCGTGCTGAGTCCATTATTATTTATCTTAGTAATGGATGTGGTGGCTAGAGAAATGCGTGAAGGACTTCCATGGGAGATATTATATGCAGATGACCTTGTATTAATGGCAAACAGCGAGGGAGAATTGAGGGATAAAGTTAGTAAATGGAAGATGACTATGGAAGCAAAGGGCCTGAAAATGAATGCATCAAAAACAAAGGTGATGATTGGTGGGGAAATCTAAAGATGGAGGAATCCGGTAAGTGGCCTTGTGGTGTATGTGGGAAAGGAGTTGCTAGAAATTCAATTCAATGCACCAGATGCCAGAAATGGGTACATAAAAGATGTAGCAGGGAAAAAGGCAGTTTGATGTTAGAAAGAATGACTTTTATTTGTAGAACATACATGAAAGGGATACATAATAATGATAACCTAAAAAATGGTGGTCTGGATATTGGCAATGGATTAACCCTAGAAAAAGTGGATAAGTTTTGTTATTTAGGTGATATGCTAAAAGCAGATGGTGGTGTAGATTCTGCCGTTGTTGCAAGGATCAGACAAGCTTGGAAGAAGTTCAGAGAGATGTCGTCTATTCTTACAAATAAAAAAGTTTCTCTGGAGTTAAAGGGGAAAGTTTACGTAAGCTGTGTGAGGATTTGTTTATTTATGGCGGTGAAACATGGGCAATGAAAGCGACTCACGAAGCCAAATTAGAAAGAACAGAGATGAGGATGGTTAGATGGATGTGTGGGGTATCTCTGAGAGAGAGAAAAACTAGCAAGGAATTGCGAGCAAGATTAGGTATAGAAATGATTGGTATGGTAATGTGACGAAATAGACTAAGATGGTTTGGGCATGTGGAACGTATGACAAGAGATGACTGGGTAAAGAGATGCACAATGATGGAAGTAGGAGGATCAAGACCTAGAGGAAGACCCAAGATGACGTGGACAAATGTGATAGCGGCGGATATGAGAAGCATAATCTTACAAGTATTGATGCTCAGGACCGTCAAAAATGGAAAAGAAAAATCAGAGGGAAAACTGGCCTACCCGGGTAAACCTGGAAATCGCCATAAAACGGAGAAGAAGAAGAATATTGGCGATTATATCTGTGTTGCATGCCTCTTAACTTTATATAAATATAAAAAGGAGGGCATTTCAATTTACCAGGAAAACAATACCGCTACAACTTCCAATGAATTCTTAAAATCCACCATAGAATAGAAAAATGATACTCCAATTAATAACGATAACGCACAACTCCCTATATCTTGCTTCAAATCCTTAAATTCAACGTTATTAGATATTGGAAATTAAAAAAAGAAATTAAAAGAAAAATATTATCCTAATCTAAAGCTTGCAAGAATTTCATAGGGTTTAAGCAAAATTCTTCAACCAGCGATGGAGATAAATAATAGCAACGCCAGCAATGGAGATAATAGCAACAATTTAATAATTCAAAATATGAAAAATAGTTATGTATGCTCCAATTCGGAGGATTATCAATTCTTATTTAAAACACACTATTATTAAAGACATTACTTCCAAATTGGAGCATACGTAACTATTTTGAATTATCAAATCGTTGCTATTATTTATCTCTATCGCTGGTTGAAGAATTCTCTATACCCTTTGAAATTCTTGTAGGTTTTTGATTAGTGCATTACTTTTCTTTTAATCTCTTTTAATTGGAGATTGTCCAATATCTAATGACGTTGAATTTAAGGATTCGAAGAAAGATATAGGGAGTTGTGCGTTATAGTTATTAATTGGAGTATCATTTTCTACTTCTATGGGGAAGTTGCAGCGGTATTGTTTTCCTAGTAAATTGGAATACCCTCCTTTTTATATTTATATAAAAAGCAGCATGTAACACAGATATAATCTCCAATATTGATTTTGGAAAATTCTGTCATCCAGCGACTTATTGTAATCTCTTCTTTGATAAATGTTTATTTATATTAGAAGGATTTTTACATATCATGATATTCAAATTTAAATAGTAATAATTAATTTTAAAAATCGATAAATTTATTGGGAAAATGAATCAAAAAATCGATAATTAATTTAAATCATAATTAGCTATTTTTTAAAATTACTTGCGCTTTCTAGCGGAAATTTTATTTTGTGCTAAAATGGATTTTATTCAACAAATATTATATTATGGTATATAAATAAAAGGTAGAATGACTTCTATTTTCAAAAATTAAGTTTTAGCTATTTAAAATATTAACGCCATCTAGCGGATTTTTTTCAAAGCATTTTTTCTACTTAATTTTTTTTTTTACTACTCTAAAAATTTTAATAACAAAATATCTGAAATTTGAAAAAAAAATTTATATTAACATTTAAAAATTAATTAACTATAAATTTTTGACCGCAATTTAAAAAAAATTCATAAATTAAAATTTTATTTTATTTTAAATACGTGGAAGAGTTTACTTAGGGCTATAAAATGAGCCATGATAGAGATCTGCAAAAGTAGGCCCGGCCAGAAGCCGGATCGGGCCTTGGAAATTTAATTAAATATATTTAGATTTATCAATTTTATATTGGATTTTTTATGTAAAATAAAAATATTTTATCTTATATGTCTTTTATTTTAAGTAATTATAAAAATTAATTTATGTATTTAAATAAAATCGAGCCGGGCCGGGAACTTTTTTAAAAAAAATTTCGGGCCAAGCCGGACTTGAAAAATTAGGCTCGATGCAGATCACTAATATATAGTGCATATAATATTAAAGTTATCCCTATTTTAAAAAATCATTTTTTTCGAAAAATGACCAAGCAAGGCCACTTTGAGACCCTATATCTCCGGTTTTAGTAAAGTTAATGGGCTAATATTTTGGATTCGTCAATTACAACACTTCATTAACTTACATACCAAATTTTAGCAAAATCTGAGATGGTCGGGTTGTAAAGTGATTGATTTGATATGGGAATGACCTAATTTTTACTTAAAGAGATAGGACAGTTTTTTTAAAAAAATAAAACTAATTTAACCCTGGCAAATGGAAATTGAATACCTGATGTTCTAGAATTAAATATAAAATAAAGGGATGCATTTAAAAAAAAACATGTAATTATCCTGGATTTTGTAATAAGGCAGCCAGGAGAGAGAAATAACGACCAGCAACATGCAATAAACGACGGGCTTAAAGGTTGATATAACGTGTTTCGCGCCGTATTTTAAGTTCAGCTCTTGTTCGTTATCGGCATCATCGATAGGTTCATTTCCATTTAGCGGACCATTTATTTGGTTGATTATGCCTTCAAATTCTTCCCCATTTTCATCTTGAAAATTGGGATTGTCCCCCGTTTGGCCTAGGTGGCCTGAAATGGTATTGCGATCATTGTTGTTGTTGGAATTGAAATTCAGTGAAGCATACGAATCAATTTTGGGTTTATATTTAACTTTCCCCTTAGCAATATTCGTTGTTTGATGTCCACCCGCATCTGTGGTAGACGAAGAATTTCCTGTTGTCATTTTGAGTTGAATTTTGCGTTTTTGGATTCGCGATGGCAGATTATATTCGGTCGTTATGTAAGAATGGATAAATTTGGAGTTGGAAGATGACATAATATGATACTGATTTATATAATATAGATCTAGAAAAGGGTATCCATTAAAAAAAAATTCATATCAAATGTAAATTAAATGTATTCTATTATTTTGTAGTAATATCGGATCGGATCGATGAAAAATTTATGGATCGGCACGGTCCTACCAAAAACTTAAGTCAAGACAAAATATTTAATAGTTCCTGATTTTTGTCCTTGTCCCAAATGAAGGTTTGGCAAGACTTTAAAAAAATCAGTCGGGTCCGATATCAGTTTTCGTTCCGGTATTTTATTTTAATATCGTTCATCGGTCTTGTCTTTGACCTTCACTAGGCTCTATCTAATATATCAAATACCGCCTTAAATTGGTAGTTTAATTTTTCAAAAGGGGGTACATCATTAAATTATTTTTCTGGCATCCTCTTCCTTTGTCTCCTAATATCTTTCCCATTTAAATTAAGAATAAAATAATATTTCATCTATCCTACTACTGATCTTCATACGAAACCTTTGTATTGATTTTTATTTCCAATTATTGAACCAATGTAATAAAAATTGAATATTTTATATGCACAAGAATAAAACTTTAAACTATAGGCAAGGCAAGAAGTATATTGAATTTTTCTGTATTTGATTGAAAATCTTATATCATTGATAATTCAGCAGGTAGTTCTTTTAAATGAAGGTAACAATTACTTGTTAATAAATATTTTTACTTTTAAAATAAAAAGATGCTAGGTGACAATAGATTTATGTCATTTTCCTTAACAAAAAAAGCGTTAAATTAACTTTACCGGCAAGGTTCCAAATCGACCTCAAACTCGTATTTTTTATCGAGTCTTAACCTTTAAATGATTTTTATCCTAATCTGAACCAAAGCTAAAAATGCTTTGAAATGGTTCGAACCTCGTGATTTTATGCTTTTAAAATAATGTGAAAGTTATTACTATTTTTAAAATTCCAATTTAAAGATTGTTTTAAAGATTATTTATTATCAATCAATGAGTCACAATTTTTATAAATTGTTTATATTATTACTAGCTAATAACCCGTCAAGAATGACGGGGTTGAGGGGTAATTAGTTAGTTTGTGTATATGGTACTAAATATGTTTTATATTAAAATTTAGGAGAAAAAGAGATAAAATTGTTGCAATACAACCCGTGAGCATTAAGGATATTAGAAATATCAAAATTTAAATTTGTGATAGAAATCATATTGGGTAAAATTAAAAATATTGATGCTTCACAAATTTTGAATTTTAAATATGGGCTAGACATTGGTCTCAAAATTTTGTTTTGCAGACACAGTTAGGCCTGATCAAAAAATCATGTCCCATGCAACTTTGCCAAAATTTTGACATTTATTTCTATTACAATTTAATAATAATGTCTTAAATTCAATTTTATATTTAGAATAAAATTTAAAATAGAGATGCTTGGAAATTTTTTAATTTTAAATATGGGGTAGACATTGGCCTGAATTTTTTGCAGACATAGCCAGGCCTGATCAAAAAATAAGTCCCATTATTGTAATTTAATAACAATATCTTAAATTTAATTTTATATTTAGAATAAAATTTAAATTTGTGATAGAAATCATATTGGGTAAAATTTAAAATAGATATGCTTGAAAATTTTTCAATTCTAAATATGGATTAGACATTGGCCTAAAAATTTTTTTCTCAAACCTGGCCAACCCATAATAATTTTGTAATTTTTTCCCAAGCCTGGAGATAGGTAAATCTCTAAAAACCATATTGTTGGGAAAATTTTCTCAAGCCCACCAAAGACCATAATAATTTTGTTAGTTGAGAACTGAAATAAAATATATAAAAGTCATAATTCATTTTAAAATAAAATCAGAATATGAAAGTTGCATGGGCTTGGTTTTTTAATCAGGCCTGGCGATTTCTGCAAAAAAAAATTTTCAGGCCAATGTCTAGCCCATATTTAAAATTAAAAAATTTTCAAGCATTTATATTTTATATTTTACCCAATATGATTTCTATCACAAATCTAAATTTTATTCTAAATATAAAATTAAATTTAAGACATTTTTATTAAATTACAATAAAAATAAATGGCAAAATTTAATGAAAGTTGCATGGGACTTGGTTTTTTGATCAGACCTGGCTATGTCTACAAAAAAAAATTTTCAGGCCAATGTATAACCCATATTTAAAATTCAAAAATCTTAAAGCATCTCTATTTTAAATATTATCCAATATGATTTCCATCACAAATTTAAATTTTGATATTTCTAATACAAGCTCACGGTATACATTCAATTTTACCTCTTTTTCTCCTAAATTTTAATATTTATATAAAATTTATTAATAAAGTATATTTAGTACCATACACACAAACTAAATAACTACCCTTCAACCCCGTCAGCTAGTATGGTAATAAACGGCAAAATTTTAAAAATATCAGCTATTAATTAATATAATATATAATTGATATTTTAAATTTAATTATATTCAAGTTGGTGCATGCTTAAAACATACGCCTTTGAAGCGGGGTTTTTGGTTCGACTCTCGTAGAGAGAGCAAAAAAATAATATTACACTATATAGTCTTCTTAAATTTTAAATACATTAGGAAGATACGAAAACGATCATGTTTTGATTATGGAGATTATATATATTAGATTTTGCAACATTTAAATATGTTTAACTTCCTTTTTATATTTAAATTTGAAAAACAATTATCTTAAGAAAGGAAGAAAGATTTAAATTATATGAGTGTGGATTTTTGTGAAAATGAATCAACAGCAGAGATCTTCACCTGAAGATGATTTATTCGACAATTTTTTAAAAAATAAGGATGGTATAAACAAAATCTATTATAACGATCAAATATTATAAATAATTTAGTTGATACTAATGGCAAAAATGGATTCCCGAATTATATAAATTAATTGACTAATGTTATACAGTGTCGGCTATTCAAGTTAGCGTAAAGAGATGTTTTCAACAGTAAAATTTATACTTTTTCTATAAAGATAATTTGACTGAGATGAATCTAAAAAATATTTTTAATGTACAGCTCAATTAGAGATCTGCAATGGGTGGGCATGGTAAATGATTATAAACATTGGGTGGATGAGTGGGCGGTTTAAAAAATTTTTCTAAAGAGGGTGAATATGAAATATTTATCGGTTGAAATAGCAGAACAGACTTTTATATATTTAATTCATTTTTTTATTTCATAATATAGCATATTTTTATAAGTTTAAGTGAAATAAAATAAAGATAATTTTTAAACATTGGGGGCGGGTTAAACAAAATTTTTAGATGAATGGAAGGGCGGGTGTGAATTTTTAAAAAATACTATGGGCAAGAGAGCTTAAACACTGCAAACTCAAAATTCAATACTATTCCTTTAATTAAATAATGTTCAATATTGCATTTAATTAGTGCTGTAAACGTTACTACAAAAAAGAAACGCGTTACCGTTACTCGTTACATCTGAAAAAAGGAATGCGTTATAGTTACCCTTTCAAAAAAGTAACGAGCTACTCTTTACTTAAAAAAATAATATTTATTTTTTTCCGACAATATATAATAAAATAAACCTATACAAAAAGAATATATAAGATCGTTTTATAAAAAAAAATATTAATATATTTAATTATAATAGAAATAAAATTATACAAAAATAATATATTATAAGATAACATCTTTATGTAACAATTTCTTTATTATTTTTAGCAACAATTAATTTCAAAATTTTGATCAGACAAACAAGAGCGCTTAGTGCTAAACACAGCTGCTTAAATAATGGGATCTTATATATAGTATTTTAATAATAAATAAAATCTATAATGAAATTCTCTGTAAAATTTTGTTATTGCCAACTTTTCTGGTGGTAAGCTCCTTCATTATCTCTCTACACTTTATGTTATTCATACAATCTCTTTTATCTAATTTATACTTCTTCATATAGGCTCTAACTTTATGGCCCCATTGATTTTGGCCTTCCTCTTTTACGTTTACCCATCACTTCCAAACTCTCAACTTTATTTCCTATGTAGTTCATAGGCCTTCTCATTGTATGCCCATACCACCTAAGTCTGTTTACCATTATCTTAGTCTTAATGGGCACTACCTTTAAACTTCCTAGCATTCTTGTACTTCGCATCTTATCCTTTCTTGTTACCCCAGCAATCATCCTCAGCATTCTCATCTCCATAGTTTGTAGACTTCTCTCGTCTGATTCTTTGGTTGGCCATGATTCCCGAATTATATAGAATAGTTGTTTGTACAATTTTTCCCTTCAATTTGTGTGGGATTCTTTTGTCAAAGAGCACTCCAGATAAAGATCTCCACTTTAACCACCCTTGATTAATGTTATTCTTTATCTCTTTCTGTATTGTGCCGTTTGTTTGTATAGTGGAGCCAAATATTTGCAGCTTTCAATTGCCGATATCTGCTATTCTTTTATACCAATGCTCTCTGTTTCATCTCCTCCTATCACCATATACTCTGCCTTTTCTCTATTTACTTTTAGTCCGGTCGGTATCAGTATCGGATCGGATTTTGTTATATATATATGAATAAGTATCCCCGGGATGGCCTAGTGGGTTATGATGTAGACTTGGAACAAAAGGTCCCAGGTTCGATCCTGGTAAGGAACGTAAAAATTTTCGGGTTTTTCTTAGATGACTGATGTGTAAAGACATATAGTAAGATGAATTTCGGAGCTTAGAAATGACACCGGTCACCGACAGGCTTGGACAGCCGGGTGCTAAGGATACTTGTCCAATAAACAAAAATGAAGGACACAAATGAAAATATGAATATGAAAGCTAGGACGTTCCCTCCAAGCGACGCGCAGGGTGTAGACCTCCATCCTGCGAAAATTAAATTAAAGGTCAAAGCAAAGAAGACAAGGTTAGCAAGTTTGAATATTGGTACACTTAAAGGTAAGACGAGAGAATTGGCATCAATGTTGAACAAGAGAAAAGTTAATATAGCGTGCATACAAGAGACGAAATGGAAAGGTCAGAAGACTTTAATGATTGGAGATGGGTATTGTACTATAAC